CACAATAGCCAGCGTGATCCCCTTAAATTGTAAGATAGATCATTACAGTCCTCAGTTCAAACCCTCTGATGAATGCCCATTTCATCAAGCCAACATTACAATGCCTTGCAGGTTTTGCCCCCACTTCCAACCCTCCATCTCTGAACTTACCTCCTATGCTTTTCTACTTGGTCACTCAGTTCCAACCCTTGGCTGCCTTGTGTGTCCTCAAACAAATCAAGACCTCCTGCCTCAGGGCCTTTGATGTTGCCGTGCCCTTTGTTGGGAAACCTTTTCCTCCACATATTTATATAGCTCACTCTCTTACTCCCTTCAAATGTCCTCATAAATGTTTCTGTCAGAGAGGATTTCCCTGACCACTCTGCACAAGAGCAACTCTTGTGCACTGTGCTCCTTATTTCCCTTTTACACTTTACCTTTCTCCTGGTTCTTGAAGACATTTGACATGCTATATATTTGCTTGTTTACTTTATCTCTCTTCCACGAGACTAAGTTCAAAGAGGGCAGGACTTCGTTTTGTTCCCTGTTGTATCCCCAGTTTATACAAGGGTGCATGGACAATAAACACGTATTGAATGAATGAGTGGACTGACATCCAAGGGGAGGAGACGAGAACATCACACATGACTAAGAGACCTTGCACAGATCTTGGTGAGTGCTAGCTAGTACGGCACTACATTTGATTTGCTTTAGGAAAGAAACAAAACAGATTGCTTCTACTTTCAGGGCTGTGGAGCAATTTGTCTTTGTTGCACGTGTAAGTGGCTGAGCCTAAGTGAGGCCTGCCTACACACGTCATGCTATGCATGTGATAATGCTACATTCCAGGGGAGTTAAAGGAATGAAAGAGAAATGCCATTTAGATATTCTTCAATAGTTACAGACAGCAACTTTAGACACTAGATCAAGACTGGAGAATGTGCGAGCTGGAGAAACGTTAGGTCACGCAGCAAATTAGTGGCAGATTCAGGATTACAACACAGGTCTTCTAATTTGCAGGCCAGCCCTTTCCACCATGGCTCAAATGAGCCATCTTGCTTCTCTACTCCAATTTTATGCCATTCCATTGGGTTAGATCTCTGGATTCCCAAACTACTGCAGCTTCCACCTCAAATTCCAAAGCAGAATCAGCTAGATAACAATCTCAGCAGGCTGGACAACAATCGCTAAGTTGTACACTGTATATTATTTTATATACATACATTGAGAATTATAATGGAAGATGATAGAGATAGGATCCAAGTTAGGTTTCTTTATGTATTTAACCACACAACTTGTTACATTGTCACCCAAGTTTAGATAATTTCAGCACTGATTATCTGGTTTCTTAATTAGAATCACAGCATTTCAGAGATGGCTAGTTCACAGTGATTTTAAATTATTATTTTTTAAAACTATAGCAAACCTGGAAACCAAATACTTTTTTTTTTTTTAAAGATTGTATTGGGGATTGGGGGAGGGGAACAGTGCTGAGGAATCAGGGGAAGGGGAACAGACAAGTTGCTGTCGTTTTGTTCTTCAGTCTAGTTGTGGAGGACGTTGCTTCACTGGCCCAAGCTGGCACCATCATTGTGCTCCTCCCGGGTGAGGCAGATCAGTCGCCAGCCTCTGGACGGCCACTCACGGCGGCTGCTGGCTGCTCACGCTGGCTGACGGCTACACATGGTAGCCCATGGCAACCCACTGCAGCACAGGACTGCAACCCACGCCGTCGCCGGCGACTCATGGCAGCCCAGCTCCAGGTTGAGCTGCTGTTCAACATCTTAGCTGTGGAGGGCAGTGTCACTGGCCCTCATATGTGGGATCTGAACCGGGGCCCTCTGGCGTCCCAAGCCAGCTCTTAACCAACGCGCCACTCGGCCGGCCCCCAAATACTTTTTTTGAAGCCACTTTTGTTGAACAACTGTGAGCTCTGAATCACCTCTGAGGAATTATCTTTCAGACCTTCAAAGTACAATCTGAAAAAATTCAATGTAGTTCAACTGTCTCCTTGTAGAGACGGACAGTCAAGCTGGCCAAGAAACAGAGTTGGGCTCAGAACACGTGTCTCCTGCCTCCTGGGTTGCCACACATCACGATCTTACTTTATCTCTCTAATTTTTCTGTTTTAGATCCTCCACCAAAAAGTAAGCAGAAAATCTTTCAAACCCCTCTCTCTTACTTGGTTAGCACCAGTTGTAGTTTAAAGGTTTGGTAGGGAAGATATGGGAATACTTGACTCAAAAGAAGGGTTTTGGGGCCTGCCGAGTGGCTCAGTTGGTTAAGAGCTTGCTCAAGAGTTTGAGTTCTGAGCAACAGCAGTTCGATGCCCAGTCCGAGCTGAGCCGCTGAGCTGCCAACAGGTGGCAGGATGGCTCAGCTAAAAAAAAAAAAAAAAAAAAGGGTTTTGGATCACCATGGGGGTGTGTTCTCCCTCTTCCATCTGGCTGAGGGCCATCACTGATTCCTAGCTTTCCCCTCCCCAGCCTCACTGCCTCTTTCAAGTAAGTTTTCATGTAAATTTTCCTTCAATGAGGCCAACACAGGAAGATCTGGAGCTATGAAACACAGATCAGTCTTTTAATGTAGTATTCCTGGGTGTAGCACAGCAAGAAAACCTAATCAATCGTGCTGTGTTTGGAGGACTGTCTGCATGGCCTCTATTACAGGAGATAAACCAAGTGGTGCCTGAGCCTGCACTCAGGGACCGGGTCTAACTGAGTGGAGATGGATGCATCTGGCTCTAAGTGTGATGGCACCGCCCACTCAAGATAACTCTATTTCTCCCTGCTTAGATTTCATGAGCATAAGTCAAACTTCTGTTATTTGGCTTCCCAAATATGTGGATCATTTCAATTCTCATTGTAAGTGAGTGTGATGTGGCATTCTGGTTCCCTCAGGAGACAGCAGTGGGAGGCCATTTCAAAGAGACTGCTCCCTTCTATGCTGTGTGTGTCTTCTGAGGATGGGGATGTCTTTGAATCAAGTTTCAAGAGAAGTAAAAACTTGTGATTAGTTCCACATTGGGAGATGGGCAAGCCCAGAACCCAGACGCCACTACCTTTCAAGGCCAAAAGTATTACAGTCTATGAATCTAGCAGGTTATTACCTCTCGTGGCTTAGGTTCATGTTGGGGACAACTGGATGTTAATGACACCACACAGAAAGATAGTGACATGTTTGCATGTTTTATTTACAAGGTTTCAAAATTACTTGCTGGTAAAGGACATGCTATTTTCATCCTCCTTCCTTCTTGCAGTGACATGAAGATCCTGCCCTAATAGACTCAGATTAAGGGCTGGTAACCAGCTCACTGGTACCCAATGAGTCATCTTTGGATTTGCCACAGAGTAAGTCAGGGAGTTGCCTGTGTACTTGGGAGGGAACCAGTCATCTTGGTGGAGAGTTTCCAACAAACCCAGTGACTGCAGGGAGAGGACATGGTGGCTGAAAAGGGGGGAGACTCACAAACCATTATTAAAGATGAAGGGCTAATAAATTATTCTTTTCAAGAACTGAGGGTTGGGGAAAGATGGAAGAGCTCTTTTTCCATATGGTAACTCAGGCCCAAGGAGCTGAGCTGGCTTTATACTCCATTAAACTGGTATCTTAGGATATACTGATCTCTGCCAGAAAGCTACTTTGGAGCTCATTTTTCTCCATGCCTGACTGCACACTGGGGCTAGGAGGTGTGGATCCTTAAGATGCTGTTTGGCATAGCAGAGAGGCACAGATCTGGAGTGCAACACAGATAAGGTGAGAGTAAGAAGGGAAGCATAGGGCCAAGCTTTAGAAAGGGGTGTGTGTGTGTGTGTGTGTGTGTGTGTTGCATCCCTTTTTAGCAAGGGTAATTGGGAGGGAACCTACAATAGAAAAAAAAAAAAAGACTAGTTATTTATTTATTTTTTTGTGAATGACTTCTGTTATCAAATAAGACCCAGGCCCTCTTATTCATTTACTTACTACTTACTTTTTCTCCACAGCATTTTATTTTTTTTAAATTTTATTTATTTATGTATTTTTTTAGCTGAGCCATCCCGCCACCTGTTGGCAGCTCAGCTCAGGCTGGGGAATTGAACCGGCGACCCTGTTGCTCAGAGCTCGCACTCTTGAGTGAGCTCTTAACCAACTGAGCCACTCAGCCGGCCTCCACAGCATTTAAGAAAAATGAAGTGGGCATTGTGGCTGCCTGTGGAGGGCAGCCTGGGACAGAGGCAAGGGAAGTGGGAATAAGGCCTCTCACTACAGAAGCTCTATGCAACTCGAGCTGCCTCCCCTTCACAACCAGCCTTCTCAAACAGCCGGAAGAGCTGGGCTCTCCTTCAGCATCGCACTGTTCCTACATGACCCTGGGAGCCAACGAGGCCCTTCCCTTCTATGTTTTCAAAGACAGCAGGGAACTTGATTGCACACCTGGATGAGAGTTGCAGGACAGAGTTCTGAGATCTGAGACATGAAAACTCAACCTCAATGACCTGTCAGGAAGTCATTTTGACCTGAAATTGGGGCCTAATATCAGTGATGCTAGGGACTCAATGAATGGAACAATTAAAAAACAAACAAACAAATAAACAAACAAACAAAAACTAGGAAAGCAGGGGCTGGAGAACCCCAGATGGAAGGTAGGGGAAAGTGTTAATATAAGGGAAACAAATGTTCCCAAAAGGCATTTCACTAAAAATAAAATAAAAAAACAAAGAAAGGATGGTCAATCCCGCCCCTCTTTCTTATCCTTCCAAATTCATCATTGTGCAAAAGCTTCAGCTTCGTAGTTCCCTGATTGTAGATTCTAACAACACAGGCAGAGCAAAACTTGTACTACAGGAGAATGAAACTGGCAACCAGAGCCACAGGTCGCTGAGCAGAGCATTGGCAGAGAAGTATGTCAGGATCCAGTGACCGGCCAAGTTCTGGGCTTGCGCAGATGGGGTTCTCAACATGGCTATGACAGATCCTTTCTCAACTTCAACAGACAACCAGGGACATAACCCAAAAATGGAGACACATTGAGGACAGCACAGTTACAAGTGGGCATGGGTTTTTATTCTCAGTGCACAGCAGTATTGGTTTCTGCTCATCAGCAACAAGCTTTACTGGTTCCAAAAAAATTATCCTTTTTTTTCTGACTTTAAAAACTATTCGTCCTGTCTCAGTGGAACAACATATTTGAATTTCAGATTTGCCAGTTTATAGCATTTTCCCCCCTAAGAACCATAAATACATGCAAAACACTGTACAAAGAGCTTAAATAATATCAAAATGCAAATACAGATTGGGTGCACTGTTAAGCCGAACTGCAATATGGCAAAACACACTGGGGTATGCATTGCTCGGATATCACCATCGGCTTATTTATGTCATGCAGACCACAACGGTCAATCTTTTGTTTTGTTTTTCTTTTTTATACAAAAATACCAGTGCTTGCTATACTAGTGACTGAAAAAAAAAAAAAAAGAAACTCAAAATCCCTATCTGCATGCTGATTTGAAAAGAACAATGTAGATAGATTTGTTGGCACAATATATATGGCATATTCACATATGGCATATATACATATGGGGAAAAAAACGAGAACCAAAGGCCAGTTCAGTCATGGGAAGCTCCCCTCCCTCCATCTCTTTAAATTAAGAGGCAAAGGAACAGCAGGTCTAACAGCAGGGCCCGGAAGGCAAAGAACTGGCACTGAGCTCAATGGAAGGGTGTCTGGTCTATTTTGAGGAAAGGGCTGGAATGGCTTAAGAATAGCAGGCATTTATAAATGCCTCACCCCCACCATTGCAGTGGGGTGGTCCCTTGTTATGAAAAGCGAGGAAGCGTGTACTTTGTGATGGTATGATAGGCTGCTTCAATCATTAGGCAAGGAAAGCAGAAAAGAAAGGAAGCTCTGCATTTGGGGGTTTCGGGGCACATGTGAGCTTGCCACGCCCCTCTGGGTTTCTGGCAGTGAGGTAATCACTCAGATTTGTTCCCCTCTGAAGCTCAAGGGGGAGAAGAAACCCAAGCCCTAAAGAACCCACAAGTGCCAGAAGGATTTATAGGTGGTCTCTAACACCTGTAGGGATGTGAGTCATTTCAGAGGGCAGAGGGTACCTATGGGAAGGACCTAGCCCCAAGACTGTCAGCCAGGGCTAGAAACCAGCCTTTGTCTTTCCACTTAGAGCTCTATCCCCCATCTTATATATTGCATGAGACCTTTCTAGAGGAGGGGAAGAAGTCCCAAATTAGATCTTTGCACAAAAACTCACTAATGGAAAACTCCAGGGGCGACAGGAGGTAAAAGAACCATAAAAAATGCACATCCCAAATCAGAGTATCCTTGCAGTCCAAGAGATGATCATGTCTCGGATATCACTCTGCCAGCTATTCATCAAAAAATAAAATCCAACCAAGACCCCTGACCTTAATGACTAGTTACTAGAGAACCTGGCACACATCTCCATGGGGACGCACACTCATTTTCTGCTGCCGTCCCTTCTTGATGGCTGCTTTCTTTCTCATTCTAGATTCATCAAGATAAGAATCTAGAGTAATATTTTCCCCTTCTCCCCATCAGACCTTTTCAAATCCAAAGCACCATTTTGGGGGAAAGCTTTATTAACTTATGCCATATTTACTCACTGCCAGTTGGATCACTGAAACTGAATAGAAAAAAAAAACAAACCTATATAAAAAACATATGCACATAAACACTTAAACTTACTCAATTCCATATCAACAAAATTTATATTAAAAAAGTCTAGAACCCAACAAATTTTTTCCCTCTAAGTATAAAGATGGCTGTTTGGAGAAAGGAATTACGGTGCATTGGTTTTAAAACCAATTACAAATACGAAGTCACCTGTCATGTCAAATAGCTGGTTAGTGCTCCCTCTACAGGATTACATGACAGCACTTTATTTTAAACCTTTTAAACAAAATACATATGGCTGACTCATATGTCATTTAGATGACTTTGTGATCTAAAGAAAACTATATTTTTTTGCATAATAGTCTATATTTTCTCTTCTACTATGGAAACTAGAATACATAAAAAACCGTTGACTTTAAAACAAGTAGACACAAGCTCTCAGGAGTAACCTGTTAGGCACCATGAGAGTCTTTTGGGAGCAGGAATGGTAAAATAGCCTCCAAAGTTTGTTGTTGGCTTGTTTTTTTTAAACTGATCTGAGGTAATAAAAGACTTGACAGAGCTAAATCTTCCAATGTACTTAATAAATATACATGTGAACACCTAACACCTTGTGTGAGCTGGTTTTTCTCCTCCATGAGTGTTTAAGACAGAGAAAAGATCGCTGATGCATATAACCTTTACAAAACCAAAATCAAATTTGGTAGATTCTGTAGTAATGAGGATGTGTTAGTGGGTCTTGTTTCTTTACTCTTCCTACTGTGGACAGCTCAGGTGAATGGTGAGGGAGGAGGCATCTAGAAGAAAAGGCTGGAGAGGATAGATCTGGGTCCCCTCACTCTCACAAATGGACATTTGGCAGTTCGTAAGGGCCTCAAACCCCTTTTCCCTACTCCTATTGCTCTGCAGAGAGGGTGGCAGGCTTCATTTATCCAATGGGAGAAGGGAATGGGCAGGAGGCAAGAGAGAACCCCTGCACAGAAGAGTTTAAGTCAACATCAGCAGGGATAAAAATGGAGCTGCTGAAAATGTGGCTCCACCTTGTCCCATTAAGGAACACTTAAAAAAAAATCTCCTAGTGAAGTTCCCAGCTCCTGAGAGGCAGGTAAAATGGGATGCTTAGGGCAGTGTTCAGGAAAAGAAGGCACAGGGCTTTACTGTGCAGCAGGGGAACCCGTTCTGAAGGGCTTAAGGGGGGCCTGTGAGAGGGAGGAAGAGAGGAAGAACTTTCCAGGGTGGGTCTTTTCTTACTTTAAGTCAGCAAAATGTCACTGGAGCCTCCCACTTTGGACACATAGTTCCAAAATCAGAATATCTGAGAAAGGTTGGGACCTTTTCAGAGACTGGACAAGTCAGGGGACACAGGGAAAGGTAGAATGACACAACTGAAGGGAATGTCCAAGCTAATACCCAGCCACCTAAGCTCAAGGTTTCTGGTTTTTCAGATCCTGCTAGAACGATCCTTTGGCCTCTCCCAAGGCTTCTCAACACTCACTCCTCCTACACTCAGGTCTTGCCCTGGGAGAGCCTTGGCAGATGGCTTTGAAAACAGTAGTGGTCACCCCAAGGAGGACTTCACAAGAGTTGGCTTTGACAGTCTGTCTTGTCCTTGACCTGCCAGCTTCTGGTCCTCAATATCCAAGTCCATTTAGGAGGCAGGGTCATTCTTAATTCATTCTTCTGCCACCACTTTAGGAATTGGAGAAAGCTCAGGCTTATGGTAAAAACTACATACCACACATATACAAGCTTCACGGTCAACGTTGATCTCCCTGGCACTTAGAAACCACACAAATGTGACAAGATGGCAGTTTAGAAGTAGATAACCTGACAACAGCAGGAACACACTCTTACCACTTCTCAGTTGCTTCGAAAGGACCCTGTTAGCAAAGAAAGCCTATCTGCCTCTAGAACTAAGTCAAAGGTTCCACTGGGGCCAGGAGGGAGAATAGTCAAAGTTGACTCAAGTCATCCAGGTCCTTTCCACTTTATCATCACAACTTAAAAAAAAAAAAGTGAAGGTAATGAAGACAATGGTCAAAAGACCTTAGGGAGGTTTGACTGGAAGGGTAGAAGGAGCAAGAGGGTCATGTTTTCAAAATGGGAAAACTGTTTTAAAAACAATTACTTTATAGGCTAATTCTATACATTCCATTCCTACCACCACACATTTCATTTGAGAATATTTGTCTCTCTGAACCCTCAACTGGGATTATAAAAGGCATAGACTCATAGGGTTAAAAAAAAAAAAAAGTCAAGAGATGGCAACATATGTATGAAAACTGGGGGAGAATTTGGGTTGGGGTGGATGCCAAGAGGATCATATCATTTCTTTAAAAATGACAACTGATACATGCAAGGAGTAGATTCTACCATTCACTACCTGCCTGGGGTTTGACTGGGTCTTGCTACAAACCCCAACTCAAGTTTAAGTCAAGATCCTTATAGGTCTATTCTCTTGCTTCCTCTTGGTTAGGTGGGGCTCACACATACTTGGGAGCAGCTGACATGAGAGTAAAAAAACCTCATCATCATCTTGTAGATGAGAGATGAACAGGAAATAGGGAAAGCAGGAATGGGAGTCAGAGAATGAAGTTCAAACTGATGTCTCCAGGCTGTGTACAGGGCTGTCCAGGTGGGAGGCAACGATTTGCACCTGGCTGGAATCCACTGCATTGTTGTTTTTGTTGGCATACGGAGTGACCTCACCGTCCAACAGGAGCACCCTAGTCCCACACTTAGAAAACTTTTCAAGATTTTCCTCTTCTTGTTCATCCAGGAGTGGTGTTCGTGGCAGCTCCTCGTCTATGGCGAATTCAGGGTGGGTCATGAAGTTGTGGATGAAGTTTTGGTTCTTGGGTTTCTGGATGCTTTCGTGGAGGGAACTATGGAATGCTTTGACCACTTTGATCTACACCAGGGGAAGGAAAACATGGATGAGAAAATACGGAGATGAGGATTGGCCAGTAAAACAAGAAACTGGTGGTTTGAGGAGAGAAACAAAACCTAAGCTACAAAACATTACTGAGCAATAACAAAAAACATACATATAAGAAAAGATCATGGAACACTAAAAACATTTACGTGGCTCAAATTTCAAGCATTGGGGTGAGTAATGGCAAACATCTAGGATGTTTCAAAAGCTGCATTAAAAAAAGTAGAAAACCCAAAGCAAAGTTAGCATTCCCAGACAATCCACTCTTAAAATGAAATAGAAAACAAACAGATTCATTAGTTCTTTTGAATGGAGGTCAAGGACATTGGAACTAGGTGCAAATTAACAGCCAAATTTAAAAAGATGCTTCAGACATGTGGATTTCTGCGTTGAGGACAAACATTTTGTGAATGTGGAATGGATAAATTACACACGGTAGTTATCTGTTTAAAACCCTCAGAGAACCAAACACATACCAATATGCACACAATATGCTTTGGGTGATAAGTGACCATGAATACAGTGCAGCAAGGCAGGCAAACCAGTCTTCATATGTGTCAGCAGCATGCAAAAAATTAACCCATAAACTCCAATTAAATAATTGTTCTTTTATCAGGAAACATGTATATATTTATATCCCACAACTTCCACACTGTCCCCTCCTTCTGTCCTTCCCCTGGAAGATATGGATGAACTACAGGTATCAAAGGTACCAATAGACACCTTCCTCCTGACTAATGAGAGAAGACATGGCTCTCACAACTCAGATGTATGTCCATGTCTCTGATACTCAGCAACTGTGCCCAGTCATTCAGTTTTCTCCAGCTGTTTCTAAATTGTGATGAGACGCATGATCTTATGTGGAGAAAGGAAAGGATGGGACCAGGATAGAAACCATCCAAACCAGGGGGCAGTGCTACAAATAAGTGACTTTTCTGATGGGGTGGATAAAAAAGATGGAGGAAAGGAAACAATTTGTAGTTTTACTGGGCAAAGGAAAATGCATTGCCCTGTTAAGTGTCAAAGTCTTTGTTCTGCTGTACAGAAAGGGAGGGATTCAGTCAATCTAGAGAAAGGGGAAAAAATTGACCTTAATTGAATCCCTGTGACCAGTCTGTCTTATTATCCATGGGCACCCACCCTTTGGCAGCCTGCTTTTCTGAATTGCAGGCTTGCTTGAGGGATGGTTTAGAACCTGCGTTAGTAGGATTGGGGTCAGGGGAGAAGGTTGGATCCCAAGGTTGGAGAGAGACGCCAGGGGAAGAGAAAGCATTTATAGAATTTTTGTTGTTGGGAGGAGGCTCATCCTAGTCTTGTCCAAAAATTCTTCCCTTGTAAAAGAATGAGAGTAACTCAGAAGAAACTGTTGAGGTAGGGAGGGGGATAGGGAGGAATGATGAATGTTGGGGTAAGGCACCTCTTTCATTCTTCTGCTGTTTAAGCAAAGAATATGTTCCTGGAGAAGAGGCAAGAGTGTGGAGACAGCAGAGTGCACAGTCAGGCAAATAAATTGGTGGGATAGCCTGTCCAGTGCTTCTTATCACTGTATAGAACCTTCAAAAATAATGTGCAAAGAAGTTTCACTAAAGTTGTGTCTCTTCTGGCTCAGGCTTTCTTTGCCTCACTCTACGACAGCCTGGCAGACCCACCCAGGACTGAGGGTGCTGAGAGCTTAGGAGGCAAAGGATTCTTTGCCACTCAATAGAATCAGCTCAACACCTCAGCCAAGAAGAAATCAAAGAATGTGGGCACACATTCACCAGGCTGAACAGAAAGTAAGGACCTACTTTTCCATCCTTCTATGATTCTCATTGACCATCTGATGGGTGAATTTTAACTGTCATGCTCTCTTTGCTCCAGATCTAAGTGATATCAGATGGAATAGAGGCTCCATCTGATCTTTAGGAGGTCCAAAGTTTTAACTGATCTACGTCAAACTTGGAGCAAGACAAGTTGGTTCAAGTAAACCCAAACCCAATGCCTTCTCCCTTGGCCCTGGTCAAGAGATGAGTTCAAAGCTATACCACTCTCTGTAGGAGTGATAACATAACCCATAGTTTTCTCCTGCTCTTGAGATCTCAAAATTTCTAATAAGTCCTGCAGGAGAACAGGTATCTTTATACCACCAGTTGATCATTTTCAATATCAGTGATTTTCAAATGTCTTGCTTCTTTTTTTTTTTTTTAAGCAATTGAATACTTTCTTAAAATAATTATATGTGACGTCTAATGTAGAAAACAGATTTTTAAAAATTGGGGTTGGAGTGAGCATCTGGAGCCCTGTTTGCTGGCTTTTCCTCTCACCTGTTGGGGTGATCATAACACTGTTACAGGTAAACAATAAGGGAGACAAAAGTAAATTGGGGATGGGTAGATGGAAAATTTCTTCTTTGGGGGAGCAAGGAACAGTCATCCGGCTAGATTGCAGGACTTCTGGAATCTAAAGGAAAACCAGTCACCTGCAAGGGAAGCTCAGGTGAAGAGGAATCAGAGAGCTAAGGAGTACCATCTAGTGGCTTGGCGGGTGGAGAGAAGAATGAGTGGGTAGAGGGCACAAGGCTGTGCCAGAATGCTCCCAACACTGGCCTCAGAGAATATAATACATGCTGATGAACAACCGCACAGATATACCATCACCAATCCACCCCAACTGGTGGCATCTTCCCTTCCGGATGCATTCCTGATGCATGCTGCCTTGTGCATGAGCAGTGTATGAGGAACAAGACATAGCTAGTGAAATGGGTGCTGTGAAAGCTTTAGGCACTCTCCACTCAGCCAATCAACCCTTTCTTCCCTGGTCATCATCTCTCAAAACCTCTGGGAAATGTCTCTTCTGTGGCCCCTGTCCTACAGGTGAAGTGACTGATTGAAGGGCAACTCTCTCTCAGGAGCCCCAACCAGGCTAGACATTAGGTTAGGTATGAGTGTTAAGAGCCACTCACTCTCCAGGAGCTCAATGAATGGGCAGGTGGAGACTCAAATTCCTCAGCCGGTATTGTGCAGTTTTCTGCTCCATTTTCAGAAACCAGGGGAAGAGAAGAGAGTAGGGCTTTCCTATAGAGGGAAATCTTAAGAGATTTATCTACTGAACGTTAGATAAATAATTGAATTCATTTGAAGATCTGGAATGGGAAAGGGGGTTTTAAAATGCATTACTATAACTTCTAGGACCTCCAAGGAAGAAGTCATAGCTGGAGCAAGGGCAGGTGTGGCCTGTCTCTCCTGACTTATTCTTTAATCTTTGACGGTTTGCAGCATACCCTCTACCAGGAACTCTACAAGAGCCTAATAGGCTCTGTCTTCTGTTTAGTCTCCTTTTACCTTCAAATTGCTGGGATCTCTGACAGTAATCCTACCTAACAGACAGGCATGATTTAAAAAGAACAGAAACTACAATAGTTAGAAGGACATGGCAAAACCAGAAGAAAATGGAAATAAGAGAGGAATATGGAAGAAACAGAGCGAGAGGCTCTTAGATATTTGCAAGGTAAGACTTATTTAGTTCTGTGACTGCCTTTGGGCTTAAAGAAATATGTATCTATATAAAACCCAACCCCACCCCACCCCCATACCTCACATGAGAACATTTACAGTTGGTTAAAAAGACAATAAATAATCTAAGTCTGGTCAACCTATGCAGCTCACTATCATTTGAACCACAGACAGTGCAACTGTTCTTTCTTCATACCCCATCCCAGGGTTGGAGTGGGGGGAGGAGGCGGTTGGGAGGAAGGGAGAGACAAACAGATACTTGAAGACCATGATACACTTAATACAGAGACTCCTTCCCCATCAAATACTATAATAGCACAATCAGCAAAGACATTTCTCTTTCCTCTCTGTGTCCCATTTAGGGAAATAAAATGACCAGGGATATGAAGACATAAGCATTAGCAAGAATCCAATAATCTACCAATGGGAACACCAGATCTTAGGTTGAAATGTGGACAGCATTCCAATGGACAGGCGGGCTGAGAAAGGGGTTCCTAAAACTCTGTGCACAAATAAGATATGAAGAGCCTGCTATAGGTGAGACAATGATTTTCAAACTTCCTGCTTCTATTTTTCTATTCTATTCCTAGAGGAAAGGAGGAAAAAAAAAGTTGCTCTTCAGAAATTCCTAAAAAAAAAAAAGTTTAACAGGTGAAGAAAGATAAGTTATTTTTAACTTTTCATATATTTCTCCTACCCAGATGTGAATTGCTTGGTTTAAAGTCCCTGAAAAGTAAAACAATGGGGCTGCTCAGTCCTGAACACCTTCGTTGCTTTACATTCAGCTATAACTTTTATGCTAATACTGCCAGCTAACAATAGAGTGGTAGCCAAAATAACTATTATTAGTGGCCAAGTTCAATACTGGCTCAATTATGACAGCTCTACTGGTAAAAAAAAAAACCCAATAGGAACAATAGCTCCTTTCATACCTTTTCTCAGGAGATCTCAAACTTGCCCTCAAATGAAGGGTTCCTGGGTTTTCACTTGGCCTAACCTTACACCTAACCTTAGGAGACAAGAGTTCAGACTCAAAGGAGCAGAAGAAAGAAGCAGACAACACAACATATCCAAAACAAAGCAGAAAGCAAAAATAAATAAATAAAATAAAGCAAGACAAAAAAACTCAAAGAAGAAGCAAGAAATGCAGAGGAACAATCAGAAAACAGGACTGTTGCCTTTAAAATAGTTATGGTTTAATAACTTTTCAATATTAAAAATAAATCAATAGGCAAATAAATAGATAAATAAATAAATAAATAAATAAGTAAAATAAAAGGGCACACAGCCTGGTTTGGGAGTGGGATTTTGGTCCCACTTTCCTTCCCTTAAGTCAAAGATCAAAGTGAAAAACAAAAAGGTATATAACCATGGTTGGTTAAAGTGGATGCCGCGTGCTCTCTTGTGGTCATTTTAGCAAATCATGCATCATAATAGACTATCACTCACTGCCCAGAGTAGGAGATGAAACAGCAGCAGCAACAGAAGTGGTGGGGGAAGATTTGACTGGTGCAACTGTTACATAGGATGGACTAGGAACATGTTTTACATCAAGGTGTTGACCCATGGTCTGTCGCTTTAGGACTCCCTTAAAAGAGGCTCCCGTCTGGAATGTATTAATTACGTCGATCTGTAAAGAATCAGAGAGTGAAACAGCTTTGCTCCACAGTCAGAGAGAGGTAAAGAAAAATGAAGGGAGGGTCCTGGAGGGTTAGGGAAGGGGGACATAAGGAGCTGGGCAAAGGGGACAGGAGATGGAAAGCTAGAGAGGGAGATGCCCTCACACACAAAGCAATGGTCACACTTCATTTAAGGCACCATTTGCCATGGAGTCCAAATACCCAGCCAGAATTCAGTCTGCTTTTCCCTTTTAGCCGATGAAGGACATTTTAGGTATACTGGTGTTCAAAAGCATCTAAAATTTAAAGGGACTTCCACACCCCATGACTCCTCACAGATAGTGACAGCTTTTTTTGACCTATACTGTTAAAAAATAAAGCATACAATTTAAGATAGAAGGCAAAGTATATATTACCAAATTTTGAGGCTCAGGAACCTCTAACCCAATTAAATTGACTATTTATTTTTACAGATTTTTCTAGGAAAATAACTCATGTATTTAAAGAAAAAAACAGAGGCATGTAGTAGGTGACATACATAGGTAACCATACTGGAAAGGCTCCTGACTATGAGTTGCTGGGCTTACCCTCCTCTGGGTTTCTTCTCTGAAACACCCTTTCCTTGGGCTGAAGTGGACAGGGCCTGAAAATGGAGCTTAGGAATCTAATGGCCAGGCTCTTTAGAAAGAATGCCATTAGCTGCATTAATGTACTGGAGGTCCGGAAAAGTCCAGCAGAAATGCTGACAATAACTCAGCATTTAGAATGAGGAAGGGCAGAGAGAGTTGTTGGTAGCTGGTGGGTGGTGAGCAGCTACAAGTCTGCCCCTACACAATGGTCTCTGGTCTACAGGGTGCTACTCCTCTGAGACAGAGGCAATTCATACCATTTGTTTTCCAACAATGGTCTGGGTCTAGGGCAGCGGTTCTCAACCTGTGGGTCGCGACCCCTTTGGGGGTCGAACGACCCTTTCATAGGGGTTGCTGGGTACTCGTATGTGGGCATATCTGCATGTGGGCCTGGAGACGGATAGAGGAGCGGTGTCTCGGTTCCTAAGACCACCGAAAATATGTGTTTTCCAATGGTCTTAGGCGACCCCTGTGAAAGGTTGAGAACCGCTGGTCTAGGGCCTTGGCCAAACCCACCATCCTTATCCCTGACTCCTAAGGAACAAGGATCAAATCAAAAGGAATTCCCTTTACCCTTCAGAATCTCGCAGAACTCTCTTAAAAATGCCCACATGCTTAGAATCAAGGGCCAATCTCCCAGGAATGCAGGAAAGGTGCTGATTCCACTCATCTGACTTCATTTCCCCAGGGGAGAAGGTGGGAAAGCAGGCACCTTGTGAGTTAGACAGTTATTCTTATTTGTAAAGCTTCCTGAGAAGCCACGCCCTGTTTAGAGCTAGCTTCTGGGTTCTGAGCTAAAACACCACCCCTTCATCACATTATACAGTTTTCAATTCTGGGGGATAGAGGAGCCTGATCCTGTAAGAGGAAAGGGTTTCCATGTGGGGAGGGTTCAGCTACATGGAAGACGGGGCTATAGAGACATCTTCCTACGTACTTATTAGGGTTACGAGATATCTCAACCTCCACAATGAAATTGGATCCTAGGTTTACCTGCCCAAGATTCTAGCCCTTGTTTCTGAAACTTCTGCTTTCTAATGCTTTTTAGCTCTCCTCAAACTAAGGAAGCCAAGATGGGACAACAGCTTGGCAACACCTCCCACCCCTAAGTGTTGCAGTGAGAATGACGACAAAGATCAACACAGGTGGCAGGTGATTTTGTTAGAGCCCTGCTGAGGCTGAACAGTTGTACCAGGAGAGAGCTTCAGTTATTCCGGTATAGGTTGGCACAGTCAGCCTCATCTGCTTATCGAGTTAGGTGCACACTATAATGGCACAAATTTGGTCCTTCTGGCATCTTTAACAGGTTGCCTTTGCTGCCTAAGTTCAGGATTTAATGCCATTCTGGCCCAACTGCCTCAGACTCCAATAGGGAAAGGTAGTCTTCCTAAAGCTATTCAGGCAGCGAAACTAAACAGAGAGGTGTACAGTCGAGAGTGGAAATTGGTAGTGGACGGGGAAGGAAGACCCATGAATCTCAGGTCCCCAGGAGAGGAGACTGACCAGGAACCAGGAGACACTGGAATGAGGGAATCCTGGCTAGGAAAGAAATCACATAGTAGAAAAGGAGGCAGAGGATCCTGAAGGGAAGAAAAGCAGACAGGTTATTTTGAAAGGAGCAGACCTGAAGGAAAGCACCAGGGCCTCAGTGATAGGAGCCAAAGGTGCAGGAGTCTGGGCACGTGAGGCCCTTATTGGATGGGCTCAGCAGCCTGGAGAGCGGGTGGGGCAGGGGTGGGAACTCTGGAGGTCCTGCAGCAGTACTTGCAAGTCCTGTGGGAATTCCCCTCTCTGGGACGAGGAGCTCAAGAGAGGGGAAAGGAGTCCCAGTGTTTTCCTACCTGGCCCCTCTTTCCCACTTCCATTTGTTAGCTCGCCTGTGGGACAAGCTCCCAGCAGATATTTAGTTTAGAATACTCATCACACCTCTCTTCTTCATGCACTAAGGAGCAGAGGTGGGCTTGGCTAGGGAACTTTCTAAACACCTGCAAGGTTCATTTTTAGAGTGAAACTTATTTCCGGGATCTTCAGCCAATCAGTAGAGAGGAATAGCCCTGGTCTCTGGACGGCACCCTTGAGATCTTGGAATTTAGTTTCTTGAGATGGGAAATCTCAGGACTAACACAATAGAGGTATATGGGGCAAGAACAGGGCAAGTTATGGGATGCCTAGACCAGCCCATTCACCCAGAAGGTAGATGCAGGTGCATGGAAAGTGGGGGAAAAAAAGCTTCTGTCGGGTTATAGGCAGGGGACTTAAGAGCAGCAGGAGCAGCTTCTTTCTCATTTGAGAAATTGCAAGAAAGAAAAATTTGAAGGAATTATATCTTCTTCCTTTTTGGGAAGCAAGTCTGAATCCTGCAAAAGACACTCAGGCATTGAGAGACTATTGCCATTTATACATACTTAGCCATCAGATTCCCCACCATGTCCTTAAATTTCAATTGGGGAAGATATGAGGGTGAGTTTCTTTTAACGATCCCTCCAGGTAATATCTACATTACTCTAACAGCAGTTAGAGCAGTTGAGGATGTACGTTAAGTGTCAGCTGTCTAACTCCTTCCTTCTGATGGCAGGGAAAGACTGAACTTTTCCCGTCCTGGGTTAGGTCTAGTGCTTGCAAGAGACCTCATGTAGGAAGCTTGCCCAACCTGATGGAGGGTGGGAAAGTGGGCTTTAGAACCAACCCAAAGCTAAAGGACCATGCTCACAGTTAGTGTCCCACGCTCTAGACCTTATGACCCCTTTCCCCTCAGATGAGCCCATGTAGCTATCTCTGCCCATTTGCCCTGAAACTAGGAAGCTAGGGCTGCCCACTACTAGTGGGCTTTGGAAGGGGAGAGGCATTGGCTACCAAAAATTGATGCCCTCCCAACACCTCCCAAGATGGAGAGATTTCTTCTCCCGGGGTGAGGCTAGGCCACTGTCAGAGTACCTGAGTCTGGATACGGTTCAGGCCCCGGAACCAGAGGATCTGGCCTCGGCGCAGCTCCATCTCTGCATGGTCAATCTCATCCAGCCCCTCTGCATCCTTGGTGATCTCCTCTTTGGTGATGCCATGCCCAGCCTCCTTTAGGAACTTCAGGGATTGGGTAGGTATTGAGGAAATTACCTGAGAATAGGTGAAGCAAAAGGGGAGACACCAGAATTGGGGTGAGGAACTGTCACTCAATTTACACGGGCCAGGCCCTGGGGTAGGTTACTCTTGGCCTTCTTCCCACTGGGAGAACAGGGGGAGAAGCACCAGTCCAATCAAACAGCATTCACCAAGTGCCTGCCAGCTGTCGGGACCCCAGGAAGGTTTTCTGTATTTGTGGCTATCCAAAGGAGAACTTACGTTCTACAATTTGACCAGCCCTCTGCCTAGTTATATACGTCATTGTCCCCCTTCTGGTTCAGTTCTTCCTTTCCATTTTGCCACTTTGTGTCTTTTCGGAAAAGTAGACCTATGTATGACGTATGGTACATAGTAGGAAGGGACGGAGACAAGGACCTGGGGGAAAACAAGTCTGGGGACAGGATGGTCACGTTGCATGTATGTGAGTAAGGGGTAGAGAGGGTGTTGGAGAAGAATGAGACCTTTCTTAGTTACTACATGCAAAGTAATCCATGTGTTATAAAACTATAGTCAAAGGTTACTAAAAGTCTTCTTGGGCTTGGGGTGAGGAAGTATCTGGGACAGGCCATGGAAGAAGGGACATATGAATATTACCAGAAGCCACAGAGCAGTAGGTTGGGCTTGCAATTCAAAATAAATCCCTTGGTGAGCTTAGTACCTATCAATCAGTTCTCCTGTAAAACATGAGGAGTGGACAGGGCTCTGGTGGGAAACGGGGCCTGTGGGCAGTCTAACATGGACCCAAGTGTTTTGAAATAGGAAGAATGTCAAAGTTCTGCGTTCGGATGTTGGAAGGAGCTGTTATGATATAGATGGAAGGCTGCTATCTGGCATCAAGGTCACATAATCACACGTGAGACTAGATCCAGGTGAGAATTTCAAACTGTAGTGAAACAGCTGAGCTTCACCCGAGTATAAGCTGCGTTATACTACATTATAAATGAACTTCAGCAAATGGAACAGGGTGGAGGTAGTGGGGTTAAGAACTGGGATGCAGCTTCATCAGGGCGGCATCTAGGAGGTATGAAAGAAACAACTAGCAGGTCTCTGAGGGGAAGGCCTGCAGCCCCAGGGAGGAATCTTTGGGACCAATTAGAGCAAAGCCTCTATTACCCAGGTGGCTGGGCACCATTCAGTAGAGCTACCTGAGGTCTGCAAAGCAGAGATGGCCCAGGCCAGAGCTGAGGATGAAGAGGACTTACAAAGTGTTATTAGGGAACGACTAAAACTCTCACCAGACCTGATGATATTATAACATAAACAGCTAACATTTATTGAGTACTTACAGGGTACTAGACATTGTTCTAAGTCATTTCTGTATAGTAACTGATTTCCTGATTAACAATGATTAACAATAGCCCTGTTATCCTAAGTTGAGGAAACTGAGGCATAGAATGGTTAAGAAACATGCTCAAAGTTCAATTTGTAAAAAGGAGACCTGGGATACAAAAACAGGCAGTCAATCCCACACCCTTGCTCTGAGCCATATGTTATACTGCTTCTCTTGTGAGTCTGGATTTTATTGGGTTGTCGGAAAAGTCATGCCATATTTTTTCTTTGTTTTTCATTGCAAAAATGCATCATGACTTTTCTGACAACCCAATATTTTAGGTAAGAGTCAAGCATTCTACCCAGATAAGGCCATGGTGAGAAACACAAGAGGTGGGGAGCCTTAAACTGTGTCAGCACAGTAGCCAGAGCCAGACTGCAGTTTCACTAGAATAAAGATATATGCTTTGTAAACCCTTCTACTTCTAAGACCTTACTTTTTTCTTTTTAAAGCAAAATTCCATTGAAAATGTCTACTCCCATCGCAGAGACGCTAAGGGATTTGCCTGCCTCCAGGCCTGGCTAGAGAAGAGGTCTGAAGCCTCTGAAGTGGTCATTCCACCTTGGGATCCCATTAGATGGAAAGCACTTGAAAACTTGGGGGCTGGCAAGGAAAAAGAGGTCTGCAGGCTGTGTGAATACACAGGAAAGGCGGGCAGTACTTACCTGGCCCCACAGCAGTTCTCCAAAACCAATGAAAAGACACCAAAACCACTGGGACATAGTGAGCCTCGTACAACTGAAGGGTTTGCCCCCAAATTCCACGATGACAATCTAGAACAGAGAAGGGGCAGCCCACCATCAGGGAGGTGAGTAACAGATAGCTAGCCCTCCGGCCAATGCCATCAGAGCCAGGTAACCCCCATTTTCAGGATCCTTGTGGTGCAAGTCCTGATCTGCTTGTTGGGAAAAAAGAAAGAAGAAATCCAGAAGGAGAGACATATACAAACAGTCTTTATTATTTATGTATTTATTTATTTATTCCATGCAGGAGTCGAACCGGCAACCTTGCTGTTAAAGAGTGCAGGGTCTATCCACTGAGCCATCCAGACGGCAGCTCAGCTCAAGGTGCCGAGTTCAGTCTTCCAGCTGCGGGCGGGCATAGCCCACCATCAAACAGGCAATCTTGTCATTAGGAGCATGTGCTCTCACCAGCTGAGCCATCCTGCCACCTGTTGGCAGCTCAGCGGCAGCTCAGCTCGGGCAAAGCTCACTGGCCCATGTGGGAATTGAACTGGCGACCCTGTTGCTCAGAGCTCGTGCTCTTAAGCAAACTCTTAACCAACTGAGCCACTCGGCCAGCCCACAAACGGTCTTTATAGAGCACTCTGATAGGGTGACAGACACAGCTACTATGCACATTATTAACATGGGAGCAGGGAGAGCAGGGGGAGCTGGAGACTTCTTGTGACTAAAGCCAGTGATGACAAAGAGAAGGCACAGTGGTAGAGAAGAGGAACCGAAGATGGGGGCAAATAAGGGAGGTACTATGTTGAGGGGTGAGGCAGGAGTGCCTTTGTTACACGGTGAGCGCCTAATCTCGTCTCTGCAGATGTTTAAGTATACCTCTGACTAGGGCAAGAAGGGAAGGCCCAGTCTTCTTACCACTAGGACAGCCATGCTCTTGACCCCAGGTCTCACAGGAGGAGCCCAAGCCAGGTTTATGTGTCAACCACATGTGCACCAACCCATCACTTCTCTTTCTCTGTTAACTGCACAGCGTTTTGAACCAAGAACCCCTTCAGAACAAAGCAGCAGGGAAGGGAGAGGACGCCCGCAGCATGTGCATGTACATTTCATGTATGCTAGCATGGAAAGTGGGTAGAAGAGTCTGACTTTCCTCTTGGTCACAGTGTGATATTTCTGGGTTTTAGAAAGATAGTGAAAGGATTCTACAAGTCTTATTTTATTGCTACCAACGTGCTGCTTTGCCTTGGAGCACTTGACACAGCGGGCGCCAATTCTAGAGCCACATGCAAATGAAGGCCAATGGGGAACCCCAGGGGTTCACCTCACAGCCCAAGTCCCTATTATTCCCTCACTCCTGCTCCTGGGTACATCTGGCTCCCAGCTTCTGGACTGTATCACCCCAGACCTCCTACCCCAGCTCACCTGGCTGATGAACGTGCCCAAGACCACAGCACAGAAGATGAGGTTGCGGAAGATGCCTGCAAAGACGTTCCTCTCTCCGTGGATCTTGCGCGAGTTGATTTCATTGAAGAGCTGCATCAGCACGAATGTGTTGAAAATGATGGTGTAGTGCTGGCTGGGTGGGGAATGTAGAGGTGCTTTCCTCCCACTGTCAATGTCAAAGAATTTCTCACCTGGCAAGGGGAGGGGAAGCATTGGAGGGTAAGGATGGTCTCAACAAGGGCTCACGTTGGGTTAGAACAAGCTGGTGTGGCCACACTGGCTGTTGATGGCTGGTGTCCACTCTAATGTCAGTATCTGAGCTATGCTAGTTAGCAAATTTTTTTTTTAACATTTTTTTTTTTTTTTTTTTAGCTGCGCCATCCTGCTA